TCCAGTAAATAAAAAAAATATTAACAACTTGAACTGAATGACAGCAATTTGCGAATATCACTTGTATGTCTATATGGAGAAAAATAAAGCTGGTTCGCATATATTTAATCAAAGTTGATTTCCTTCGAGTTTTAAAACACATCGAAACCGGAATCCAATTATCGTATATTGCTTTTTTATTAAATTACATGTGCACGAAGTTATTATTGACGCTGTCAAGTATCAATCTGAAGAGACTAATATAATCTTGTACAATCGCACGCAAATGTTTTGAGCCTATGGGCGGATCATTTTTGCCGGTAGGAGGCGGTACAAATCGTCCAAGGGCAGAATTTGTAGGTAGGCTCAAACTACAACGAAATTTACGTGTTGACCAAATACTTACTCTGAATTAGTTTTAATTTTATAAATACCCTATCTAAAATGTTCAGAATATGATGAGTCTATACTTGTGATTTACCATTCCATTTATATGAGTAATTATTTTATTGAAGAAATCAAGAATTGCAAAACTGAATACTTTGAAATCTTGTCAATTAGTTGGAACCTGAGCCCATTTTTTTTTTTGCAATATCTGTGATGTGCTATTAGTTTCCGTAACTTATAAAATTAGAAAAAAAAAACCTATTCTGCTCTAATAAAATCGAGAATATGCTCAAAAACACACTAGTGTTAGGTCTAATTGTGCCAACCATAGTTATAAAATTCACATTAAGTTAAGTCACGGACATTTTTTGAAGTGTACTACATTTCAAAAAACAAAAAAAAATGTTCAGTTTATAAACTTCATAATTTTGGTTTAAAGTTTATCAATCATGGTTGACGCTTTATTTTATCCGTTCCATTTGTTATCCTTTACTGCTGTCTCTCTTGCGTCGAGGTGTAACACCACCGAACGTTCTTCGACCGATTGGATAATTTATTACTTCCGACATCTTTTCGGTGACAAATTTAATCTTTGCATACTTCAGCGTAGTTAGTGAACTCGTTGTGACCACTGAAATATACAAAGAGTAAATTTTGAAATGGAACTAAAGTCGAAGAATACTTTCAAAGCCACGATCAAAATGTATTTGCTTATCTTCGCCAAAAAATGCATGACGTCATGGCAAAATTTGATATGATGAGTCAGTACCTGTGTTTCGTTTTTTCGACCAACCGTTTCATCTAATTAGATTTTTCAGTTTCCATTTTTCTATCAACTTTTCGATTTTTTTACTTTCCCATTTTCAGATTTTTCGAATTTGCGCTATTTTGAATTTTCGAGTTTTCGGTTTTTCCGTTTTTCGATTTGTTGATCTTTCTGTTGGTCAGTTTTTAGACTTTGCTGCAATTTTTTTGCATTTTTCGATTATATTTTACTTTCCGATTTTTTTGATTTTTGAATTTTCGATTTTACGTTTTTAATTCTTCGATTTCCGATTTTTCAATTTTCCGGTTTTTTAATTCTTCTATTCTCGATTTTTCGATTTTCCATTGATCATTAAATTTTTCGATTTTTCGGTTTTTTTATTTTTCGACCTTCGATTTTTCAATTTTCGAGTATTCGATTTTCCATTTTCTGATTTTACGATTTTTCGATTTGCGATTTTTCGATTTTCGTTTTTCCGATTTTGTGCTTTTTCGATTTTTCTGTTTGTTTCAGTTTTTATGGTTCTGCGATTTGTTTTATTTTTTCATTTTTCGATTATTTTACTTTCCGATAGTTTGATTTTTGAATTTTTGGTTTTTTCATTTTTCGATTTGGGATTTTTCAATTTTTCGGTTTTTTAATTTTTCGAGTCTCGATATTTCGATTTTCGATTTTTCAGATTTATGGATTTGTGTCCGTTTTTTCGATTTTTAGAATATTGATTAATCGAATTTTCGATTTTTGAGCATTTCGATTTTTCTGTTCGTCAGTTTTAGACTTTCCAATTTTTACTTTTCCACTTTTCTATTATTCTAGTTTCGGATTATTCGATTTTTGAATTTTCGTTTTTTTTTTCATTTTTCGATTTCCGATTTTTTAATTTTTCGATTTTTCGGTTTTTTAATTTGTCGATTCTCGATATTTGGATTTTCGATTTTCCAATCTCCAGTTTTCGATTTTCCACTTTATGATTTTACGAGTTTTCGATTTTTCTGTTCGTCACTTTTTAGGCTTTGAAATTCGTTTACTTTTCGATTTTTGAATTGTCGACTTTTAGAGTTTTCAATATTATGAATTTTCGAATTTTCTGTTTTCCTATTTTTCCGTTTTTGAATTTTCCATTTTTCGGTTTTTTGATTTTTCAATTTTCGGGTTTTCAATCTTGCAAATTTCCGATTTTTCAGATTTGTGAATTTCCGATTTTTCGATCGACCTACGTATTATATTCATTGAATTTTTGATTTTCGGTTTTTCCATTTTTAGATTTTCGATTTTTCAGTTTTGTATTTTCAGATTTTCTGTTTTTCGCATATCTGATTCATCAAATTTTCGATTTTTCGGCTTTTCGATTTTTCGATATTTGATTTTCGAATTTTCGATTGTTCAGTTTTCCATTCTTCAGCTTTTAGACTTCAATTTTTTTACTTTTCGATTTTCCGAATTTTCGAGTTTCAATTTTCAGATTTTTGATTTTTCGATTTTCCTTTTTAAATCTTTGAACTTTTCGGTTTTGATTTTTCGAATTTTTGATTTTTAATTTTTCCATTCTTCGGTTTTTAGACTTCAATTTTCTTTCTTTTAAATTTTTCGATATTCTATTTTCGATTTTCAGTTATCAGACTTTCGACCATTAGAATTTTGGATATTTCGGTTTTATGATTTTTCGATTTTTAGAAAATTTGAGTAGTCGAATTTTCGATTTTTCAATTCATCGATTTTTCTATGTTCAATTTTTCAATTTAAATTTTGCGATTTTCAATTTGTCCATTGTCGATTTTTAGAATTTTCGGTTTTTCAATTTTTCCATTCTTCCATTCTCACCTTTTAGACTTCAATTTTGTTTCTTTCCGATTTTTTGGTTTTCGATTTTCCAATTTTCAGAATTTCCAAGTTTCTTTATTCAGATTTTCGATTTTCCACTTTTGCGATTTTAGATTTTTCGAATTTTTGTTTTTCCAATTTTTTGCTTTTTCGATTTTTCTGTTCGTTTCAGTTTTTAGGCTTTGCAATTTTTTTCTACTTTATATATTTTGATTATTTTAATTTCCGATTTTTTTTAATTTTTGTTTTTAATTTTCAGTATTACAAATTTTTGACTTTTCGATTTTTTGGTTTTTCCGTTTTTCAATTTTCGATTTTTCGATTTTTGAGGTTTGTGAATTTCCACTTTTCGATCGACCTCGGTATTTGATTCATTGAATTTTCGTTTTTTTGGTTATCCATTTTTAGATTTTCGATTTTTACGATTTGTATTTTTCGATTTTCTGTTTTTTGCATTAGTGAATTTCAGTTTTTCGATTTTCGATTTGCCGCATATTTGATTAATCAAATTTTCGAAAAAGTTACCATGCTTACAAAAACTTTAAAACATCTACAATATTTCAAAGTATTCAGTTTTGCTATTCTTGATTTCTTCAATAAAACAAATTGACTCAGTCATTAACTTTTTTGAGACACCCTGTATAACCAAATCTAAAAAAATATTAATGCAGTGATAAATCACAAGTATAAAAACTCATCATATTTTATACATTTAAGATTTATTCTGCAAAATTTTGAGGTGACGTCATAAATTTTTTAGAGGGGATAAGCAAATATATTGTAATAAAAAATGTATCATGTTTATCATGACTTTAAAACATCTGCAAGATTTCAAAGTATTCGATTTTGCAAATTTAAAATTAAATTGCAAAATATTGTTTTATACTTTTGATGTTTTTTCCAAAAATCTGGACGTTTCGGATAAAAATTCAACACGGAGTCATAAACTACATGTGTAGGACTATATACAATTTAAAACCCATTTACTATGCATAAATTTGAAGTGACGTCATCACATTATTGGTGGGGATGATTAGACAAATTTAATAATTTTGCGACATTTATGAAAAAAATATCAGTTAACAAAAATGGCACGTTTTTAGTATTATGCCAGTTACATGTCACTCAACGACAATATCGTTTTTTTTATTTATTTATTTATTATGAACATTTAAAAGTATTTTATTTGAAAAAGTGATGACATTTTTTATACGGAACAATTGGTCGAAAGATGTTAGAAAGCAAAATAATTTCTGTCCGGACCATCGTTACTCACGAACGAAAGTGACCATTATTTTATGGGAACAACTACCTGCTAAATCTTCTCCGACAAATTCGAGAGCGATAAATATTTCTTACCAAATGTAACTACTGTCCGTCCCGTTATTGTCAATAAAATTTTATAGAGTAAAATGTAAATTTCGTTGTAGTTTGAGCCTACCTACAAATTCTGCCCTTGAAGGATTTGGACCGCCTTCTTCGGTGAGGGCAGGCAAAAACGATCCGTCCATAGGCTCAAAACATTTGCGTACGTAGAGCTTTGAAGATTAACTACTTTACAAGTAGGAAAACGAGTTTTGTATTCCTGTGGGATTATAGTAAAAACTGTCATTGCACTTTTGTATTAGTTTAAAATAAACACGTCGTTGTAATTCACGAATGAATTTTTAAAATAATTTAATGTTTAATTGACACAAATAAAAAATTTATTGTCCCATCATGAAGCTCTTTGCTAATAAATAAAATAAATTGTTAAACTGCGCGTCCAGTGACAAATATAGGTCGTGGTAGGACGGTATGCCATGATTTTAACATCAGCTGTGTTACTTTTTAATCTTTATGTTGGTTTATGCGGTGTATTTTAGGTTTAGATTAATTAATAGCCACCACACTACATGTCGTCTCATTTATTTATGAAGTTGGTTACTGTTTCTGTTGATCCTTGTTTAACTTGGTTCGTTTCTGTCGTATTTCACACAACTTTAGTTAACTGAAGTCGTTACTTTATTTTTTAAAATGTCAACAATTTAAAAATAAGACACAAAAATTCAGGCAAAACTTTATTCATTGAAAATAAATTAAAAAACTGGTCAGACCTAATTCAATAAATAACTAACCGACCGTCCGATATCGAAAACTTTGGACCCCGACACGATCGAAACTTTCTTGTCTTGCACATCCACCTTGAAAATACTGTCAGGTTCTATCAATACTTTATCCTTCGTTGGCTGCTGGAAAGCTGGAAGTTTCCTATCTCCTAGGACAGGATCCTCGAACCGCCACAGCTGAACCGACTGGGGACCTACAAACCAACCATTAAAACGAGCCAATTCCACACAACAATTGAATGTTTAAGTCACAAAGCCCCGTTAAATATTTACCTTTTATCAACTTGACATCCCTGGCCAGCTTCTGCACCACCCGGGCATAGCTGTCCCCGTCGCTCACCAGCACCGACTGCGCGAACAGCCCCGAGTTCGGCACCGGATTCGAAAACTCCACTCGCACTCCCGGCTTGCTGGCGAACTGCACGAAGGGCGCCCCCGGACAGCACTCCTTCATTTTTTCCTCGGCCGTTTCGTCGTCCGTGAATCGCACCACCACTTCGTCCACGTTCAGCGTGTTCGCCAAATAGACGCTATTGTGACGCAGAACTTCGGCTTCGTCGAACTCCAGCGTCAACGCCAGCGCTTTGGGACCCATCTGGTCGACTTTCTCGCGGGTCGTCTGAACGAAAGGCATTACACGCTTCATGTACTTCTTCAACTCGGGCTTTGCGGCGAACTCCGTGGCCAGGAGTTTATTGTCCGGAAATTGGTTATTTTTCTACAAAGTTAAAGAAAAAAAAAATCGAAATGATTAAAGACAAAATTGGGTACCTCGAAGTGGGTTTTCAACGTCGTCAACACGCAGCTCTGCCACGGCGGGAACGTCTTGGCGACCCAAATATACAAAACGTCCGGTTTGGGGACAGGCGGCGGATTGGGATTCGCTTTCGTCTTGATCCCCTGCAGGTACGTCTTCAAATATATCCTGAACGAATGAGCCGTCTCCATGAGATATTCCGACGATTTAATCTTGATCTCGTCGATTTGTCCGACTTGGGGCCATTTCGCTTTGAAGATGCTGCTTTTCTGCGACGAATCGTGACATTATTGAGGGATTACAGGAGATTAGACCTACTTTGCCTAGGAGTTCCCAGACCTTTTCGGCTACGTGGGGGCAAATCGGGGCTAGGAGAATCGCCTGGACTTCGATGAAGCGGACAACGAGGTCGGCGTGCATTCCGTCTAGACACAGCTCGCGGTATTTGTCTCTGACGGACTGCAGCTCGAAGAAGCCCGTCCGCAGAGCCTCCTTGAACAGCATCTTGTTGTAAAAGTCGTCGGTTTCTTGGATCTTCAGGTTGATTTCGCTCTGGAAAACCTCGTCGTTGAAGGTGGACGCGGCGCCGGTTCTGGAAAAAAATTGGTCTAAAGAGTTTAGACAGTACTTCCCTCGCTATGGGAAACGTGACGACTAACCGGATGACAATTTTATGGTTTTTGGATGCTGTAATTCACATTTGGATAGTTATAACTTGTCTACATCTAGGGGAGCATTCCCTAGCCTCCCCTAGCTACGGCCTTATGAAATATCGAGAAACGAGTACCAAATTGACCAATGGACTCCATTACTGTACGTCCTTAAATTATCCTCGATAAGAAAAACGACTTAAAAGTGTTTATGTTTATACATTGGGAGAATGTCACGTAGAAATTAGTTTGATTTGAATACAGCGAAATTTAAAATGGTTTTATGTTGGATTTAAAGTTTGCAGTTTATATACAAAATTTAATAATTATTAGTTGTATTAATTGACTTTAAACAAAAAGACCACGCCAAAACCACGTGACAACAACGGTTTACGCGCTGTCAACTCTCTGCTGACACAATTTGGTTTCAAACCAAACGTTACCAACTGCATTTGCTCCACTCGTACAACAATGGATGACGATACTATCATTGTTTAAGTATATTATAGTTGGACAACCTAATACAAATTTTACTTCGCCTAAATAGTGAGCTTTAGGACAAGGAATCCAGGGGGCGTAGGACAAATTTTTCGTCAACGCGCATTTTCACTACAGTGAGCCAACGTATTAGATTTATTTTACTCTACATCAGATCGCGCCATCAAACATTAGCAAAGGCAAACACCCTTCACTCTGCTCTTATACGAGGAGATATCCATAAATCCATAATTAACAATTATTATATTATTAATTTAATTATTTATTTAAATTTTAAAAAGTAGCATAGTCCTGATCTTGTGACTTATACCTAAATACGCTATTGGGATTTTTCGGCTTGTCGATTTCTCGATTTTTCAACTTTAAATGTCTCAATTTTTCAATATTTCAATTTTGGGCTTTTCCGATTCTTCTATTCTTCAAATTTTGTATTTCACGATTTTTTTATTTTTCGATTTCTCAATCTTTCGATGTTTCAATGATACGATTTCTCAATTTTTGTCCTCTTCAATTTTACAGTTTTTAAATGTTTCGATTTTTCAAATTTTCACGTTTCTAAATTTTCAGTTTCCCGATTTCTAAGGTATTTTTTTTATTTGTCCATTTCTGGACTTCCTAAAGTTTCGATTTTTCACATCTTCAAGTCTTCAATTTTTCGATTTTTTAAGATTACGATTTCTCGGTTTTGCTTTTTTAGATTTTCGATTTCTCAATTTTCCAATTTTTTGAATATTTCTTTTAGTTATGAGATTTTTCAATATTTCAATTTTTCGACTTTACGATTTTTGAATTGATGGATTTTTTTTGATTTCTCGATTTTTTACTTTTTGGATTTTCAATTTATTGTAAACTTTAGATTTTTCAATTCTGCGACTGTTGCTTCGATTTCTCAATTTTTCAACTTTTCGATGTTTTAATATTTAATTTTTTAAAATTCTAGGTTTTTCGATATCTCGAGTTTTCAGTTCTCCTATATTTCGATTTTTCAATTTTTCGATTTTCCAGTTTGTCTTTCTTAAAATTTTTCGATTATTCATTCTTTTAATTTCTCAATTTTTCAATTTTTAACTTTCCTTTTCGGCTTCCGACTCCTCAATTTCTCGATCCTCCGATTTTTCAATTTCTCGAAGTCTCAGTTTTTGAATTTTTCGATGTTTCGATTTTTGGATTTTTCAATTTTTCAAATTGAATTGGATTTCTCGATTCTTCAATTTTGCGATATTTTAATTATTCAGTGTTTTAAATTTTAGTTTTTCGATTTCTCGATTTTTTGACTTTTCAGTTCTTCAGTATCTAAATTTTTCAATTTTTCAAATTTTTGCGTTAAATTTTCAGATTTTTAATTTCTCAATTAATCTATTTTTGATTTTCTCACTTCTCAAAGTTTCGATTTTTCAGTTCTTCAATTCTTCGATTTTTGGACTTCGCTTTATTGGTTTTTCGATTTCTCAATTTTTGGATATTTCTTTCAGTTTTGATATTTTTCAATACTTCGATTCTTTGATTTTTCCACTTCCAGATTTTTCTATTTTTTATTTTTGGATTTTCAGTTTTTTGTTTTTTATACTTCAGATTTTTCAATTTTTCGATTGTTTTATATTTCAATTTCTCAATTTTTCAACTTTTCCATATTTTAATTTTTAAATTTCTAGATTTTTCGGTTTCTCGAGTTTCCAGTTCTATATTGTAATTCTTCCGAATTTTTTAATTTTTTGAGATCTCAATTTATTGAGATTCGGATTTTTCGATGTTTTGATTATTCAATCTCTCGCTTTATCAATTTTTCTATATTTAAGTTTTCGATTTTTCGATTTCTCGATGTCTCAATTTTTGAATTTTACAATGTTTCGATTTTTCGATTTGTTGGTTTTTCGATTTTTTGCTTTTCGGTTTCTCGCTTTTTCGATGTTTCGATTTTTGATTTATCCGATTTTTCAATTTCCCAATTTTTTAAATTCTCGACTTCTCGATTGTTTGATTTTTCAGTTTTTCGATTTTTAAATTTTAGATCTTCGAATTTTTATTTTTTTGATTTTTTGATGTTTGGATTTCTCCATTTTTCAGTTTTAAGATATTTTAACTTTTCAATGTTTTAAATTTTAGATTTTTCGATTTTTCAGTTCTTCAATATTTTTTTATTTTTCAAATTTTGACGTTTCTGAATTTTTAGTTTTCGGATTTCTCAATTAATCTATTTTTTTAAATTCCCATTTATCCACTTCCTAAAGTTTCGATTTTTCAGTTCTTCAGTTCTTCAATTTTTCGATTATTCAGGTTTTTGATTTTTCAATTTTTAGATTTTTTAAGTTTGCGATTTTTCGACTCTGCTTTTTTGACTTTTCTGTTTCTCAATTTTTTAATTTCCTAATTTTTTGATATTTCGTTCAATTTTGTGATTTTTCAGTTTTTCGATTTCTCAATTTTAACTTTTCAATTTTTAAATTTTTTTTTTTTTTCGATTTTTTGAGTTTTCAGTTCTTCTATATTTCAATTTTCGGTTTTGTAGATTCCAAATTAAATGTCAAAATGTTGTTTCCAAATTTTAATTTTTTTCCAAAAATCTGGACGATTTCGGTCAAATCTCAATTCGGAGTCATAAACTACATGTGTAAGACTATGTATTTGATACAATTTAAAACCCAATTACTATATACAATTTTGAAGTAACGTCATCACATTAGTGGTGGGGATTAAACAAATTTTGGTTAGCGTTTTACCATCTACATGATGTACCTAATATAAATACCAAATTTGACAACAATCGACCCAGTACTTTCGGAGATTATCTGTTTAATAAAAATCCGGGACGGCAGACAGACGGACAAACGGACGGACGGACAGACAGACGAAACCAGGAGACCTATTTCTTCGTCGTCTAGGGGTCATGATAGGTCGAGAAAATGCTCGGGAAGTAAAAAGTAAAAAATTTTCTTACGAAGAACCGTCTGACCTATGAAAACTTTATGGCGAGGTGTCGTGACCTTTACGGGCAACGACTCCTCATAAAAACTAAATAGGTTTTCAGCTCCCACGAAAAAGCGGAATATTTTTCTACATTACGCAAAGATATATATTGAAAGTGAAGCCTGAAAAAACTAATTTAAATTTAAGACAGAGATGAATAACAAAACTTAGAACATCAAACGGGCCTTCTCTTGCACAAAAACGCTTCCTCGCTTTCATTCCGAGTGCCTTCTTAAATCAATAGCAAATTAACTAATTAACTAATAACTTAATTAGTCGCTTTTCATTACATTCAGCGTAAACGAAGCGCTTTTTTTGGAAACATTCCCTAGTACCCCCCCCCCCACACACACACACTAAAAAAAAACTCACCTCAGCGCTTGTTTATTCTCCAAGACCTCCTTCACCCACTCGATGAAAGTATACAGTCTGAGGATCCCGGCGTCGGCCATGCTCTCAACGAAATTAGCATCCTCTACCGAGTCGCCGGCGTCGGCGAGACACAGCCTCGTCCCGTCCGCACTGAACTTATCCACGGCCTCGCTCAAAGTCAAGAAATTCCCGTCAGACTTGGACATTTTCGCGGAATTGAGCAGAAGGTGACCGTTGGCGCGGACGCTCCTAGGCCACTTGTTTTCCTCACCCGGCCAGATGGCGCAATGATTATAAATAAAGTACGTCAGGTGGTTCTGGACTAGATCCTTCCCGGAAACCCTCACGTCCACGGGGTACCAAAACTCGAACTCGCGCTTCATCAAGTCCAGAGATTCCTTCTTGATGCCGCACTTCGCCGGGAACGGGGCGTCCTTGAAGAAAACATAGTCCCACACTTCGGGCGTCATCTGCTCGGGTTTGATCGAAAGCGCGTTGGGTTTGTTGGCACGAAACGTGTTACCTTGGAGGAGGTGGGCCACCGTGTAGTACGCGTTGTAGATGGTGGAGTCCGAAAGGGACTCAATCAGCCATTGTTCGTCCCACGGGAGCTTGGACCCTAGTCCGTAGGTCCGAGAACACGCGTGTTCGTGCAGCCAATCCAGACACCCCTGGAAATTCCGCCTCACCTCTTCGTGGTACGTGTTCATCTGCTCCAGTACCTTGAATAACAACGAATGGTTAAAATAAGTCGCAGGTGTACAATCGCACGCAAATGTTTTGAGCCTATGGGCGGATCGTTTTTGCCTGCCTTCACCGAAGAAGGCGGTCCAAATCCTTCAAGGGCAGAATTTGTAGGTAGGCTCAAACTACAACGAAATTTACATTTTACTCTATAAAATTTTATTGTCAATAACGGGACGGACAGTAGTTACATTTGGTAAGAAATATTTATGGCTCTCGAATTTGTCGGAGAAGATTTAGCAGGTAGTTGTTCCCATAAAATAATGGTCACTTACGTTCGTGAGTAACGATGGTCCGGACAGGAATTATTTTGCTTTCTAACATCTTTCGACCAATTGTTCCGTATAAAAAATGTCATCACTTTTTCAAATAAAATACTTTTAAATGTTCATAATAAATAAATAAAAAAAAAAACGATATTGTCGTTGAGTGACATGTAACTGGCATAATACTAAAAACGTGCCATTTTTGTTAACTGATATTTTTTTCATAAATGTCGCAAAATTATTAAATTTGTCTAATCATCCCCACCAATAATGTGATGACGTCACTTCAAATTTATGCATAGTAAATGGGTTTTAAATTGTATACAGTAACATAGTCCTACACATGTAGTTTGACTCCGTGTTGAATTTTTATCCGAAACGTCCAGATTTTTGGAAAAATAATCAAAATTATAAAACAATATTTTGCAATTTAATTTTGAATTTGCAAAATCGAATACTTTGAAATCTTGCAGATGTTTTAAAGTCATGATAAACATGATACATTTTTTATTAAAATATATTTGCTTATCCCCTCTAAAAAATTTATGACGTCACCTCAAAATTTTGCAGAATAAATCTTAAATGTATAAAATATGAGGAGTTTTTATACTTGTGATTTATCACTGCATTAATATTTTTTTAGATTTGGTTATACAGGGTGTCTCAAAAAAGTTAATGACTGAGTCAATTTGTTTTATTGAAGAAATCAAGAATAGCAAAACTGAATACTTTGAAATATTGTAGATGTTTTAAAGTTTTTGTAAGCATGGTAACTTTTTCGAAAATTTGATTAATCAAATATGCGGCAAATCGAAAATCAAAAAACTGAAATTCACTAATGCAAAAAACAGAAAATCGAAAAATACAAATCGTAAAAATCGGAAATCTAAAAATGGCTAATCAAAAAATCGAATATTCAATGAATCAAATACCTAGGTCGATCGAAAAGTGGAAATTCACAAACCTCAAAAATCGAAAAATCGAAAATTGAAAAACGGAAAAACCAAAAAATCGGAAATTAAAATAATCAAAATATATAAAGTAGAAAAAAAATGCAAAGCCTAAAAACTGAAACGAACAGAAAAATCGAAAAAGCAAAAAATTGGAAAAACAAAAATTCGAAAAATCTAAAATCGCAAAAGTGGAAAATCGAAAATCTGAATAAAGAAACTTGGAAATTCTGAAAATTTGAAAATCGAAAACCAAAAAATCGGAAAGAAACAAAATTGAAGTCTAAAAGGTGAGAATGGAAAAATTGAAAAACCGAAAATTCTAAAAATCGACAATGGACAAATTGAAAATCGCAAAATTTAAATTGAAAAATTGAACATAGAAAAATCGATGAATTGAAAAATCGAAAATTCGACTACTCAAATTTTCTAAAAATCGAAAAGTCATAAAACCGAAATATCCAAAATTCTAATGGTCGAAAGTCTGATAACTGAAAATCGAAAATTCTGAAAAGCGGAAAATAGAATATCGAAAAATTTAAAAGAAAGAAAATTGAAGTCTAAAAACCGAAGAATGGAAAAATTAAAAATCAAAAATTCGAAAAATCAAAACCGAAAAGTTCAAAGATTTAAAAAGGAAAATCTAAAAATCAAAAATCTGAAAATTGAAACTCGAAAATTCGGAAAATCGAAAAGTAAAAAAATTGAAGTCTAAAAGCTGAAGAATGGAAAACTGAACAATCGAAAATTCGAAAATCAAATATCGAAAAATCGAAAAGCCGAAAAATCGAAAATTTGATGAATCAGATATGCGAAAAACAGAAAATCTGAAAATACAAAACTGAAAAATCGAAAATCTAAAAATGGAAAAACCGAAAATCGAAAATTCAATGAATATAATACGTAGGTCGATCGAAAAACCGGAAATTCACAAATCTGCAAAATCGGAAATTTGCAAGATTGAAAAACCGAAAATTGAAAAATCAAAAAACCGAAAAATGGAAAATAAAAAAATCGAAAAATAGGAAAACAGAAAATTCGAAAATTCATAATATTGAAAACTCTAAAAGGCGATAATTCAAAAATCGAAAAGTAAACAAATTTCAAAGCCTAAAAAGTGACGAACAGAAAAATCGAAAACTCGTAAAATCATAAAGTGGAAAATCGAAAACTGGAGATTGGAAAATCGAAAATCGAAATATCGAGAATCGACAAATTAAAAAACCGAAAAATCGAAAAATTAAAAAATCGGAAATCGAAAAATGAAAAAAAAACGAAAATTCAAAAATCGAATAATCCGAAACTAAAATAATAGACAAGTGGAAAAGTAAAAATTGCAAAGTCTAAAACTGACGAACAGAAAAATCGAAAATTTAAAAAAAATCGAAAAATATCTAAAAATGGAAAAATCGAAATGCTCAAAAATCGAAAATTCGATTAATCAATATTCTAAAAATCGAAAAAACGGACACAAATCCACAAATCTGAAAAATCGAAAATCGAAATATCGAGACTCGAAAAATGAAAAAACCGAAAAATTGAAAAATCCCAAATCGAAAAATGAAAAAACCAAAAACTCAAAAATCAAACTATCGGAAAGTAAAATAATCGAAAAATGAAAAAATAAAACAAATCGCAGAACCATAAAAACTGAAACAAACAGAAAAATCGAAAAACCACAAAATCGGAAAAACGAAAATCGAAAAATCGTAAAATCAGAAAATGGAAAATCGAATACTCGAAAATTGAAAAATCGAAGGTCGAAAAATAAAAAAACCGAAAAATCGAAAAATTTAATGATTAATGGAAAATCGAAAAATCGAGAATAGAAGAATTAAAAAACCGGAAAATTGAAAAATCGGAAATCGAAGAATTAAAAACGTAAAATCGAAAATTCAAAAATCAAAAAAATCCGAAAGTAAAATATAATCGAAAAATGCAAAAAAATTGCAGCAAAGTCTAAAAACTGACCAACAGAAAGATCAAAAAATCGAAAAACGGAAAAACCGAAAACTCGAAAATTCAAAATACCGCAAATTTGAACAATCAGAAAATGGGAAAGTAAAAAAATCGAAAAGTTGATAGAAAAATGGAAACTGAAAAATCTAATTAGATGAAACGGTTGGTCGAAAAAACGAAACACAGGTACTGACTCATCATATCAAATTTTGCCATGAGGTCATGCATTTTTTGGCGAAGATGAGCAAATACATTTTGATCGTGGCTTTGAAAGTATTCTTCGACTTTAGTTCCATTTCAAAATTTACTCTTTGTATATTTCAGTGGTCACAACGAGTTCACTAACTACGCTGAAGTATGCGAAGATTAAATTTGTCACCGAAAAGATGTCGGAAGTAATAAATTATCCTATCGGTCGAAGAACGTTCGGTGCGGTGTTACACCTCGACCCAAGAGAGACAGCAGTAAAGGATAACAAATGGAACGGATAAAATAAAGCGTCAACCATGATTGATAAACTTGAAACCAAAATTATGAAGTTTATAAACTGAACATTTTTTTTGTTTTTTGAAATGTAGTACACTTCAAAAAATGTCCGTGACTTAACTTAATGTGAATTTTATAACTATGGTTGGCACAATTAGACCTAATACTAGTGTGTTTTTGAGCATATTCTCGATTTTATTAGAGCAGAATAGGTTTTTTTTTTCTAATTTTATAAGTTACGGAAACTAATAGCACATCACAGATATTGCAAAAAAAATTGGGCTCAGGTTCCAACTAATTGACAAGATTTCAAAGTATTCAGTTTTGCAATTCTTGATTTCTTCAATAAAATAATTACTCAGTCATTTTTTTTTTGAGTCACCTGTATGTATAAACAAATCCAAAAAATATAAATGGAATGGTAAATCACAAGTATAGACTCATCATATTCTGAACATTTTAGATAGGGTATTTATAAAATTAAAACTAATTCAGAGTAAGAATTTGGTCAACACGTAAATTTCGTTGTAGTTTGAGCCTACCTACAAATTCTGCCCTTGGACGATTTGTACCGCCTCCTACCGGCAAAAATGATCCGTCCATAGGCTCAAAACATTTGCGTGCGATTGTACGTGGTGGGTTAATACTTTATGAGCCATCTTCTTCCACGAATCTTCTCCATAATCCAAGAACCACTGGTCGCACAGAGCGACCACGCACTCATCCCCCGACCTCGAAATAATCGTTTTCTCGGGCTCGTAATAAATCACCGCTTCCTTCGCATCCGTGAGCTTCTTCTGGAGCGCTTTTTTGATGTCCTGGATTTTCTTCCCTTTGAACTCCCCGACGATCATCACTCCGTCGTAGAACCCCTTGAGGTAGACCATCTCCTTCGCCTCTAGGAGTTTCTCGCGGTCGTTCTGGCTCTGGATTTTTAGCTTCTCGTAGACGGCGACGGCCGCAAGATTCCCGAATTCGGGGATCTCCAATATCGGCACGGGTTCATAAGGTAGTACCATCTCATCAGAGATGTTGTACTTCTCGCGGAACGCTTGCTTCTTCTTGAGGTCGACTAGAGCGGCGTAATCATCAGGGGAGTCCGACGGGACGCTAGTAACCACACCCGTGCCTTTGTCTTCCTTGATGGTCAACATCGGCAGCGCGTAGATTCTTTCGTACGACGTCATAGGTGCTTTAAGCGCACAACCAAGCATATCCTGCAAATTAAACGTCAAGGGTGCGTTCTAAGACCGCTAACTTTCATTAAAGTTGTGAATGACGTTCAAATTTCAAATTGCGTAATTCCGTACCTGCCCGGTTAACTCGGCGACGACCTCGAACTTCCCGTCCGCCTCCGTAAAGCCCTGGTAGCTCATATTCTTCGCGGCTCTCGTCGTGCACACGAAGACCTCTCCCTCCTTCGTCGGGAACGCGATGTACTTCATATCCGGCCTGACCCAGCAATTCGTCTGGCCGTACATGGTCTCCGGGCGCAGCGTCGCCGCCACCAAATAAACCCCTTTATCCCCGACTTTACTGCAAATTAAAAACCATGTTACACAAACAAAACGCCCGCAATAAACCTGTACCTTAATTTCGCGGGATAAGGTTGGAGCAACTTCATTTTAATTAAAGTGTACTCTTGAGGCCCCACCCCCTCCCCGGTAGACCTGTCGTGGTCCATGCACGGCTGACCGTCGCGCGGCGAATAAATCGTGTAGCGCTTCCCAAACTTGATTTTATTGCGCTCTTTCAAACGAATGAACTGCCAACGGACGAAGGAGTCGTAGAAGGGGTTGACGTCGGTGGTGATGAAAGTGCGGCGCCAGTCCACGTGCACGCCCAAGCGGTCGAGGTCCTGGACGGCCAGAGGGGTAAAGTAATCCAGCCAGAAATCGGCGTCGGCGAACTTCTTAATTTCGTCGTCTTTTAACCCCAGACTGTACATAATTTGCCACTGGTATTTCGCTGACGCCGTTTTAGCGACGGCTTTGCTCTAAAAACATCACTCCAGCAAAAAATTTATTTCAAACTAATCAATACCTTTTTGCCTTTACTTTTATCCTTAGGGACGACGTCATCAGCTTCCACAACTTGCACTTCTTCATCTTCTGGAAACTTAGGGGGGTAACCGAAGCTCTCCATTTCGCGCTTGAGTTTATCAGCGCAGGCTTTAATAGGCATGCCGGTGACGTGAAAACCGAACGGAAAAAGGGCTTTCCTGCCCTTAAGACGGTGATAACGAACCGCAAACTCCGCTTTTGACAGCGAAAAAGTGTGCCCCAGGTGCAGCCTTCCATTCATGTAGGGATAGGGAAAAGTGCACATGAATTTGTCTTCCGAGGATTTTTGGGGGGCATCCACTTCGTGAAGCTTGTCGCGCTTCCATTTTTCTTGCACTTCGTGCTCGATTTTTTGGAGGTATTCGACTTTGAAGGTCCCTTTACGCTCGATTGTCACCTAAAACGACGCTGTAGGGTTTTTAGACGCGTTTGACGCGACTTACCATTTTAAATGATGGGTTTTATTCAAAAATGAGGGATTTTGATGGACACGTTGACATATGTTCACCACATGCTAGAACTAACCTCAACTACCGCTGGATCGATAAGATGATGCAATAAATCTACAAATTGTAAAAGTTTGAACTGTTGCGTAATAAAAAAAAAACAGGTGCGTCAATTATGCATGAATTTATCACGTAAATAATGTATTTGTATTACTATTGTCAAATACGAAATTTGAGGTTATGTTGACACGACAACGAAGAAAATGATTTGGATTTTAAAATAAATTTTATTTAACTTTCAGTACGTGAAACACTTACTACAACAACAATATACACACTAAAAAGCTGCTATGTACAAGTATTATCTCATTATCAGTACTCAAAAACAAAACTGCAGTCTTAACCTTTAAACACAATCATCGTTTTCCAGTTTCCGCTAATTATGGCGACTTTTTCTCCTCTTCTTGCTCTTTTTCGATAAGAAGGGCGCTTTTAATTCCCACCTTTTCCAGTTCTTCAATCAAATCGCCAGATCTGTGCATTTGAAGTAAAATATCACAGCCGCCAACGAACTCCCCGTTAATAAAAACCTGCGGGATTGTAGGCCAGTTCGAGAAATCTTTAATCCCTGCAAAACAACAACAAACAACAAATTCTAAATTCCGTCACACGATTTCGTCCTCACCCTGTCGTAAAGCCTCATCAGCTAGAACATCATGCGCTTCATATTTAACCCCATGCATCCTCATAATCTGCACCACCGCATTGCTAAATCCACAACGGGGCTGCTCCGGGACCCCTTTCATGAAAACCACAACTTTATTATTATTGACCATTTTCTGTATTTCTTCGGCGGGTTTTGCACTGTAGAACCTCGCCAAAGAGGCGGCGGTTCTCAGTAAATTGTTACTTTTCGAAAAAATGTTTAAATTCATTTTGATGTCTCAATTCTAACCTCAAATTCACTGTAGGGTTTTTGTTCGGTTGGTCACACTGCGTGATTGTTTGGCATGAGTCGAGTTGACGGAGAAGTGAGCCGCAAAATTGATTTTTTAATATTTTTAATTGAGAAATTAGCGACTTGAAGGTATTTTTTGTCGTTTTGGTGATGTTTTGGACGTTATTTATGTAGTTTAGAGTGTTTTGCGGTATTTCAGAGAGGTTAATTTTGTTCTTCTCTTGTAGCCTCCATGTCAGCGGTGTAAATTGGAAAAAAAAGCAGGTAAGAATGTGTTTGGCGATATTTGCTTAATTATTGGAGAAAGCGTTAGAAGAATGCCATTATTTGGTTGATTTTATTTACGTTTAGTACGGGTACGCAAATTATTAAGTTGTAAGATCGAATTGATGAATGAAGAGATTGTGCACCAAGGCACCAAGTTCAATGTATTCTGTTCTGACTCAAGTATTTATTATTAATGCGCCATCACGTTTCTTTTATTCCACAATAAAAAGGATTTTTAAATGAATGATCCACATGTTTTTGACTTCTTGTTCAATTAAGTTTATATAATAAGTCTTCGGACGCCCCAAAAACTTTTAACATTTAAGAACATGTCTTTTGACATTTTAGCGAACTCGTCCAGCAAATACTAGCCAAGTATTCAATAAATAACACAAATTTTAATGTTTTATATCTGGTTTGTGCCGTTTCTTCTTATTAAACATTTCACCAATAGACTGAAATTTCGTTCAAATACATTTCCACAATTCTCCAAAATGCTAGTGTAGAAAAAACAGTGACCAGATTGTTGTGAAGGTAGGTTGACTGTAGATTTTTGAAATATAACCTCACTTTTATCGAAACGTTTGTGAAACTTGTGATTTTAGGCATGTCGTGGCCGCAGTGGTCAACCACTCAGGCGTCAGTACCACCGGTACTGAACCCAGCAACTCCTGTTATAAATTCCGCCCCCGCTGTAGTCCCTCCGGGCTTACAGTACACCCCGGAACAATGGGCACAGTTACAGCAGCAAAATTGGCACCAGTGGGCACAATGGCAACAGCAATACCAACAGTGGCATCAGCAATATGGGGCCGAGGTACTAACTTATTTTTGTAAAACACCCATCTAATTTTATGCGTTGTAGTACCAAAAATCCATGAACGCTCTCGCCCAAGCGGCACAAGCCCAACAAGCCTCGCTTCCCAACGTGGCCGTACCGCCGCCTTTGCCCGTCGAAGTCAAACCGCCGCCTCCGGCAGAAGATCCGCCGCCTCCGGTTCCGTCCTATAACACCGCGCCACCCCCAGCACCCCCACAACAAGGCTACAACACCGCCACCAAAGCGAGCGAGCAGCGGCCGCCTGTCCACTACCCTAAAAACAACCAGAATTGGCAAAATCAGAACTATCGCTATGGACAAGAAAAGCGACCGTTTGAGCATCCACCGGATCATGACTCTAAAAGACCCATGATTAGTAAACCAGGGTGGCAGAGTCAGCCGCCCCCGCAACCCAGACCCAGAGAAAACGTCGAGGAGTTGTCTGAAGCGGAGAAGAAATTCGATAAACAGTTCGCCGACTGGGAGGCGCAATTCCAGAAATGGAAGGAACAAAACGCTGAACACCCAGATAAAGAACAATATAAAGAGTATGAAAAGAGGTGGGAGAGTTGGAGGGCGCAGCTACTAGAGAGGAGGGAGCAAATGAAGAGGAAACGATTAGGATTACCGATGGATTCCCCCAATCGTGCAAGGCCGAGTCCAGGGCAGAATTTCAATCAAAATCAAAGCTTTAATTCACCGCAACAAGGATTCGTCCAGAACCAGGGTTTTACTCAGCCTCAGAATTTTAGTCAGCCGCCTCCGAAAGTACCTCAGAACATGCCACCTAAGCAAGGGTTGTTACCGGCGCCGACACCTCCACCCGGGGCACCTGGTTTCAATAAACCGCCCCCGACAATGAACGACGAACCTTTGAAATTTAAAGAAGGTAAAGACGCGCTAGAACCTGAGGAAGTTTTAGACGATTTTATCAAACCGAATACCGGCGGAGGCATTCCCGGTTTAGATCTAGTCAAAGATGATCCGAAACCACCGCACAAAGAAAACGACGACGTCGTAGTAATCGATCCTGAAGAAAAAGAAAGAGAGAAGAAAGGGCCCGACTTTGACGCTATTTCTAAAGGAATCAACACCATCTTAGGTGATCAAAAACTTCTCAACATGCTGTCAATGGTGTCCCAAACCCAGATTCCTAAACAATCGGATAATCTAACCAATACGGTATCCAGAATCAAGGACGCCGCTAACCCAGATGCGATTCCTCAACATCCTCCGTATCCCGAACAGTCAAATCAAAGCTATGAAGAGCACTCCAACCACAGCGGTAGTTACGGACAACGGGAATTCGTCAATAATTTCGACGACCAAACTCGAAGCAGCTTCACTCAAGCGCATAACGAAGAAATGCGGTTTGAAGGTCCAGGAAACTACAACAGAAGCCAGAGTCAGTTTCCAGATCGGTTCGGTAACTTCAAAGGGAACCGTTTCGGCGGTCCAGACGAACAATTCAACCGAGGAGACAGATTCCAGCCCGGTCCAGACAGATTCGGTCCACGCGAAGATAGATACGCCCCTGACGACCAATACGGGCCACCTGAAGACAATTTTCCTCCGAATCAAGACCGGTTTGGCCCGAATCAAGGACGCTTTGGACCCAATCAAGATCGCTTTGGCCCCAATCAAGACCGCTTTGCCCCCAATCAAGATCGGTTCGGTCCAAATCAGGACCGCTTCGGTCCTCAACAAGATCGGTTTGGTCCCAACCAAAATCGTCTCGGTCCAAACCAAGATCGACTCGGTCCAAACCAAAATCGTCTCGGTCCTAATCAAGATCGACTCGGTCCAAACCAAAATCGTCTCGCTCCAAATCAAGATCGACTGGGTCCAAACCAAGATCGGCTCGGTCCAAATCAAGATCGACTGGGTCCGAACCAAGATCGTCTCGGCCCCAACCAGGACAGATTTGTGTCTCCTAATAAAGACAAGTTTGCTCCTGATCAAGAAAGATTCGGTCCTAATCCAGGCAGAGTTGGACCAAATCAAGATCGTTTCGGTGGCCCAAACCAAGATCGATTTGGGGGTCCGAACCAGGACAGAGTTGGTGGTTTGAATCCTGGTTTTGGACCTGGACCAGACAAATTTGGCCCAAATCGAGACCGAGCTGGACCTAATCAAGATAGGTTCGGACCTAAGCAAGATAGGTTCGGGCCGAATCAAGACAGGTTTGGGCCTAACCAGGACAGGTTTGCGCCTAACCAGGACAAGTTTGGGCCCAATAAAGATCGATTTCTTCCGAATCAAGATCGGTTGGGGCCAAACTCGGATCGTTTCGGTTCGGGTCAAGATAGATTCGGGCCTAAGCAGGACAGGTTTGCTTCGAAAGGGGACGATTTTAACCAGAAAGGGCCCGATGATAGGTTTTCGGGGCGGAATGATCGGAATTTGGGTCCGAAGGGGCAGTACGGCTACGATGATGATAATTATAATCAGGGACGTTTCGATGATTATAAACAAGGTTCTCAGTTTGAAGAAAATTACGATGATTATGATTATGATGCCGTGGCTGCTAGTTTTGAAAACGAGGAACAGAGTGCTGCACAGAAAAATAAGGAGCAGTGGAAGCAAGAGCAGAATTATCAAGAACCAGAGTTCATTGAAGCACCTATGGAAGAAGAACCTGAGGCGCCTCCGGCGCCAGAATCGGAGGAAATATTCCAGGCCGCGACGGTTATAGATTACGAGCACAAGTCGTCGAAAAATGGTACTGGTTGGTACTGTGAAACCTGTGTCTATAGTTTTGTTTTTTTATTATTTTTTAGCTGAGCCGGAAGTTTTGATCGAACCGATATATATGTTCGATTATCGCCATAAACCCTTGAGTCGCATTCCGCTTCCACAGCGACCGAAGTGGCTTTCGGACGCTGTTAAGAACATAAGGGAGTTCGATCCACCCTTGGTCCGTCCGTACGAGCCCAACTTACGGAGGTACCAGCCTTCGGATAATTGGAGGAACGATCGGTATCCAGACCCCTGGCCTCCACACAACAGGCGTAACGAAAGACCTCCTTTCGATGAAAGACGGTCATACAACGACAACAGATACGAGGATTCCAGAGGTCCGAAAAACGACTGGAATGCACCCAAATGGGAGGAGAAATCTTACGGTGAAGATCGAAACTTCCGTTCCGACGATAGAAGACAACCGATAAAGAGTATGGAATTTGAAGAAGAAAAAATAAGCGATACGGAGTGGCCGGAAGACGACGAACTCGAACAAACGCACAACCAAACAAACACTTCCAATCAGGACTTTCCTTCGTTTAAAAAACCCGACGAAAGCAAACCTATTAAAAATATCGTTTTGATTGAAGATTTGATCAACGCTCCAGGTCGTTACAAACGGCCGCCTCGAATGGTCATTATTCTGAGAGGGCCACCAGGTAGTGGCAAAACTTTCCTAGCCAAACTTATCAAAGATAAAGAGGTAAGAAATCGAGGTGTTTAAACAAAATTGTAGCTTTTGATTCAGGTGGAAAATGGGGGCTCAGCTCCGAGAATTTTATCTCTTGATGACTACTTTATGGTGGAACAAGAGAAAGAAGTGACGGAAGAAGGCAAAAAGGTTAAAGTGAAAGACATGGTGTACGAGTACGAAGCCGAGATGGAAGAATCCTACAGGAGTTCTTTGATCAAGTCGTTCAAGAAAACCATAACAGATGGTTATTTTTCGTTCATTATCGTTGACAATATTAACGACAAAGTCAAGTATTTTGGGGAAATGTGGAGTTTCGCCAAACAAAACGGTTTTCAGGTTTGGATAATTTTGTCGTTGGTGGTATTCATGATAATTTTTTTCTTGGGGTATTATAGGTGTATATTTGCCAGCTCGATCTAGACGTCCAAACTTGCTCAAAGCGGAATATCCACGGTAGATCCGAAGCGGATATAGAAAAATGCGTCGCGAACTGGGAGGCTACGCCTTCTCACCACCCCATTTTGGACGCCACCAGCCTCCTCCAGTCCGCCTCCATCCCCGAAGTCGAAATGGAAGAAGTGAACTCTCCCGAGAGCGACGTCGGCGAAAATGACGGGTCGGAGGTAAGATAATGGTCAGAAGAAGAAAGTATCTACTAGTCCTAAGACTTGGCCATTGTGTATCAATTTATCATGTAACTGCTACTGTTTTTTTCACAGCACTGACAAAATGGTGTTTCGATCGTATTATTGTTTTTAAATTACGTTGTTGATTTTTCTTTTTTCGTTGATTTTATTTAATTCGTACTAAAAAGTCAGTCTCCCTCAGGACCAAGTAGCTAGAAGCAAGTGGGACAATTTCGACTGTTCTGTTGATAATCTCGGTAAGTTGTTCAGAAAACAAATTGGTTTAGTTAGTACTTGTAAGATGAGGGTGCGGCCATTTCAATCTGACGCATTTTACGCCATTTTGTAAGATGTGCTCAGGTTTGGTTTGTTGGTGTTACACAGGGCTGACGTTCAAGTCAAGCATTATTTTATGTTTTGACGTTGGAGTTTTGCGGCCCTAGAAAGCGATTTTATAAATTGTTTTTCTGCTTTAGTAGCCACTTTATCGTAGGACAAGCGATGTTTTAAAGGACAAACTATTTGTATTTCTTGTTTTTATTTGCTGTGCGAGGAGTACCCGTAGCACAAAATTTGTACGAATTTAGATTTTTCAAATGGCTTGATATCTCTAAATTGGTACGATCGACCAAGCGCACTATTTTTGTATACTGATAAAATTTTATGGCCCGACTGGATTGACGCGTGCCACTTAGAGACTCCTAATGTTATTTATGCTTTGTCTCTAAAGTAGTAAAATTTTATCGGCATGTAAAAATGGTGTCTTCACAGTCTAAAGACAAAAACGTTTTCTATTTTTTTTTTCTTCTCTTAAATCAGCTAAACAGACATAAAACACCTCTTGAATTCGCATTTTTGCGATCCAAATTAGCTTTTCCACTTTCAGAACGGTATTTCTGTTTAGAAACTTGTCAAGTGTTTGTGTTTGCACTTTGTGCGTCTTTTCCAGGATTTGTGTCGGGGTTCCGCTTGTAAAAAAAGCCCGTGGGTCTCCGCTGCATTGTGTGTTTTTTGTATGTTCCAGCAAAACTCGATGGCGTCAACAAACCGCTACGACACCGGACGATGGAAGAGTACCTCCAACTGGATACAGAGTGGACCCCCGTCAAACCCACCAAACCCGGGCAGAAGAGAGTGAGTTTCGAGCCGTAAGTGAGTACTTTTACCCTAGAGTCGATTTCAGGTTCGGTGGGCCGATCTGGAAGAACAGAAGCAACAGGAGAAGATGAGAGCCATCGGGTTCGTCGTGGGACACACAAACTGGGACCGAATGCTGGATCCGACCGGCGGCAGTTCGGCGTTAACGCAAACAAAGTACATTGAGCGGACTGGACGCTATAAAGTTGATCAGAAGTGAAGGAAAATGCGTTTTTTAATCGTTTTTTTATTGAGTTCGTTATTATAACTCGATGTATAGTTCAAATAAAACAAGTACTACTTTTAAGGTTTGACGGCTTTTTCGTTGGTTCGAAGCTTGACGGGGATCTGCGTCATGTAGCGATCGACCGGTTTAGTTCGCACGGTGTCCGGGCTGAGCCTCGCCTCTGGGGCTAGCGACGCGTTGAAAAATTCCACTTCTCCTTTGCGGTTTTGCGCCTCGCGCACTTCGGGGCTTCGCCCCTGGAGCATGATCGTCACTTGCGCCGCATTCGTGTTGTTCATTTCTTGCATGTGCTCCTGAATGCAATTTTGCAGGATGTTGAGGAAAAACAGGAACGATAGTAGGGTTAACGCCGTTAATGCTATGCTGTGCTTGCTGCTGCCTTTGCTGCTGTGGCTGCTAGAAAGTATCGTTTAGGGTTTCGTGCGACTGATTAGTTAGGACTTACTGATGGCTGTGGTGAATGGAGCCGCCGGACGGACCGCTGTAGTGCGTCCGCTCGATCAAAGGCTTAGCGGCCAATTTTGGCATTAACGGGTTTACCGCTAACGACGACATGTTCTCTTTGCGATGCACTTCACACTAGTGCGGAATAATCCGGGAGCTTTGTAGACTTGCTCCGGTAACTGTTTTTCCGGACGACAGTTTACGGCGGAAATAATGGACGTATTGCTGTAATCGTAATCACTTCCAACCGACGACGATTTTCTCGTTGGTGCTAAATTCGTAACAGTTAACGACTTTATGACACGCAACCTTCACATTTTTTCATAGTTTACTGCTAACTTAAGGTGTTTGTGTAGCCGCTTTTAAGGCCGTTTTTCGTCAGACGTGACCGAGCTCGAGGCTTTGTTAGCGGTTGCGTTTGATGAGGGTTAGCCTTAGTTTGGCGTTTTTTGTACATATTTAGGGAAATTTTTCTATTCAAACTATTGCCACTATTCTTATTTGATAAGAGCGGTTCCTTTAAATTAACCTATATACTCTAATTTTTATGTATTGTATGTGTAGGGCTGACACTTGTTTTCGATTTAGAGAACTACTCCGTAGTATTAATGTCGGTTTTAAGTGAAAATAATGGAAGCTAAATGAATAAATGAATTATATACTAGAGTGTTATGTTTTGTATTGTACATATCCCCGTTTTATATGACCATTGCATGCATTTTGTTGCTTATCGGTACATATAAAATACGGTAAAAATCGCCCGGTTGGGTTAAATGTGTTAAAGAAATTTTTAGAACGTAACAGACTGCTTTAATTTCGTGATCTTATTCCGATTATCTTATGATGTTTGTTGTCTTAGCTAGAGCTCTCAAAATTATGTCTAAACAAACGAGATGTTTATCGGTATTTTACCAGATACCATCTTTATTTGCTATCGACCTTTTGAAGTACTACATTATCGTATTAAATAAAATTTGGTTTTACCGCTGTGTATTCTGAGTATTATTTTAAGATTTCGATCTCCAGTGTGAAAACTACAGCTGCCAAAACACAAAACCTAACCGAAATCGCCAGTTTTTTGGAATCTGAGACCATTTACAGATTTCTGTTGACCTTTTTGATGCAGTAAAAGACAGTTTTTAAATACTGAAACATTTTATTTTTATTACAGTATAAATAACAAAAGATTTTCAAGTTTAACAAAACCTCCGCATGCGCAGTTTCTCCACTTGGTGAAACCTCTTCGTCACAAATTTGGCTTCAATAAGAACGTTACACTGATAAATAAATAAACTTTATTGCAATCGTGTTATAATTTATACTGTACAAGAACCCCATTCGCTCGCAGCGTTCACCCGTTCACTCACCCACTCAAACAAAGTAAAAAATAACCACATCCACTAACAAAGCATGGACCAGTCCTTGATTTCCATCGTTTCGACTAAAATCGTGTGCCATTATGAAAAATAAATACTATTTTACAAATAAATTATTGCGTCGCAGTTTGTATACTGGGTGCTAAATCAAACTTCGTTACATTCCAAATACGCTTGGCGACAGTTGTCTCCGGACCTGCCTCTCCTTCCGGCTTCGTAGAGCAAGTCGAAGGTGGTCGAACTCGACGATCTATCCAAAACGAAGCTAGCGGCGTAACTGAAAAAAAAATTTTAGTCGGTATTTTTGTGTTTTCGTATTAACTCACCTTCCGAGATGACAGAAGAGAGAGCTCTGTCCGATATCCGTCGAACACTCGCTGTTAGCGTCACACATGTACTTCTGCATGCAAGTACTGTCGGTACTCGAGAGCGACCTGACGTACCCCTTCATCATAGCAATCCCGGCGACCGCGGCATCGCTGATCGAATCTTTCTTGCCGATGGTTCGCGCCGCCATCGATCTATGCGAGAACGACGTCTTCAAGGCATCCAAAAGGTTTACCACGATGTTGATAAACTAGAAACGGAGAAGTCAGACCGGGCTTGCACCTCTCGATATAGTAGAGACATTCCCCAAAATTCGCGAGGTTAATATCTCCACTATATCTACATCGTTGGGCGGCGTTATTGTTAATGACGTACCTCCCCAGCCTGTTTAGCCATCATGTTGACCTGTTCGGGGTCCCTAGATCCAAGCACCGATGAAATAATCGCCGCCAGAACTCCCTGTGCAACGCAAGCCACTACTAGTGCGAATTTTACAATATATACACGCCGACTATGCTACCAAGCGGAAGCGAAACCGTTTGCTACTCCACAAGCGACTAACCTGCATGGGTGAGCCGTTGTCCACTTTGTCGATGCCGTCGCCGCCGCCTCCGGCGCCACCCCCGAGAATGGCAGTGAGGATCTTGAGTCCGACCGACAGCAAGTTGGCCCATGGGGACGGCGCGACGCCGGTGTCGTCCAAACCCTCGGATTTATTAGGGCCTTGTTGGGCGCCCGGGTTGAAGATCATCTGCATGAGCATGCCTGGAAAGTAGGAGTCAACTACGTTGCAGACGGTGAAGTAGTAAATCTTGGTTTTGAAAAAGCAATTTTTTGCGTTGGCTGAACGTGATTACGTACCTAAAAGGTTCGACCAGGAGAAGCCGCCGCCTCCGTTGTCGGAGATGTTGTTGGTTTGGATGTCATCTAAATCATCGAGGGCTACTTTTTTAATAGCGTTCGGTTTTTCGGCGAACTTACGTTCTATCCTTTGGGCGGGGAGCTGGGGGGTTCGGACGGGGACGAAGCCGCCGTCTGAGGGGTAGGAGATGGTGCTGACTATGGAACTGCTGACTAGCAGGGCGAAGAGGCCCCATCCTACTGTTTGCTTGTACATTCTGAAAATGGCGTTGGTACTACTTAGAACCCGAATGAGGAAAATGGGAACAATGGAATTGCGAAAGTCATTTTTTAAACAAATGGCTTTATTTGCTCAGAGTCAATTTTGACAGTCTAAAGTTCCGCTAAAACCACAAGTGAACCAAAAACCTACTTAAAATTGGGTAATTGCTGTTTAGCTATTGTTTATATGTAATTATTTGTTGAACAAGTGTGTTAAAGAAATTATTGTCATTATTTTTACCAAGACGATTACATTTTACGTAACAATTTGGCGTTTAAGAAATTTTCATTTTGAAGTTCTTTAATTTTAACACAGTCCGTTGGACCACGTGTATTTTTCGCCAGCTACCTGTTACAACATTCCTAAGAGGATTTAGATAATCTTTCAGAGGAGGTTTCTAAGTTCGATTACATTGGCCTTTTGTCAAAATTCGACACGCTCAAAGTTGTCATTGTTAAGTAGATCGGCATTGTGAAAATTTATCTTTCGACAAAAGACAACACTAACAAATTAGAATTTTTTTTAAATTTGAGTTTTTGTGAGTGAATATTTTTTAAAATTTTGTTAACTATTTAACTGAATGGAAATTTCTCTTGCAGGTTTGAAACCCCCCAAAAAGTGTAACACCCGCTTAATCCGACTCAGCAACCGAGACAATTCATCGTGGCCACCGTGAATTAATCGATTTCAGGTGCACATTTCCTCCAAATAAATAAATTCTTGTTCGCGTTCTTTAATTTATCCGTTTGTGTGTCGTCAAGATCCCAGAAAACCTTGACCCAAAGCTACGTGCCTGAAAACGTGCCCGAAATTTTATTGCATCACCCATAAATCCCAAACTCCGAATTTCTCTTCAAAGTCGCATTGCTGACCCGAGAATCCGCCCGAGTTCAGTGGCGTGCCGTTTGTAGGCCACCGTTATTTGACTTTACCGTAATTTGTTAATTGAATATTATTCATCGTCGATCTGTGTCAGGATCAAAAAGCGCGAGAAGAGCAAATTCTTCATCGGCCTACTTAAGCGTGCGATTGTGATGGTACTTTCTATGCGGTAATTTCTAGAACGCGATGGTTTCTGATGCGTCCGGATAATTTTTGACAATAACGTTACCACAATAGCGATGGTTTCACCCAATCGCTGCAATTAGCGATAATTAAAGAGCGCTCGGGTAAACGACCGGTTGCTCTTGAAATACAGTTGCTCGATCTACATACGATCTCAAAATCGGGCTTTTTGTGTTATAACTAGTTGGGACGCGGTTCATTTCTTGCGCTGGCGTCGAATTTCCCGCAAGTGGGTCGCCGGAGTGGCGTCAGCCCGTTTTGAAAAAACAAAAATCGAAGGGACAAGGAATGTCGAGAAAAGGGTGCTGGTACTCACCTTATCCTTCACTAGATCACAGACAGTCACTACAGGTAGACAGACATGCACTTGTCGAGATAACTACCGCAAATGCTTCTTAGATACCTTGAACTTGTCTTTATATACGTTGACCCACTTACCTGTGTCGGAAACGCCGGCGAGGAGCGGGCCAGCGGTAGCAAAACGTGGTGGTACCGTACAATGACCACAACCACCACGAGTTTCACTTGTTGGGGACCACTCGTCCACAGTTAATTTGATTTAATTGCGTATGATCTATTGGAGAAGTGGGTTTATTAATTGGGCTAACTCCACGTTAGCGTCAGAGTCGTGGAAAAAACGGACTTTTTTCTTAATTCACCCATTATTAATAATGCATGATGTTAAAAAACGGTTCAGTAAACAGATCGGCTAATTATTTTGCCAAATATAACGGTTGCGCTAAGTAAATTCCTTAACTGTTCGTATCAATTTATTCGTGGGACCGTTTTTCGACTTTTGGAAATTTTTCATAATTACACGCAACGGGTTGGATAATCGTGAAAGTTCGAAGAGGTAATTTCTTTACGAAGAACAATCAACGGCTTTTCTAGAGACGGTTGACTCATTTTCAAAAATTCGATTTCGTTCCGGGAAAGAGTGAAGGATGTCGGTGGTTCTGAGGTGGCTACTTTTTAATCAGATCCGGATTTTACCTACAATCTAACGCGGGTTCAACGGCTCCTAAATGGAGGTGTAAAACGTTTCTTTCTATGCAGATGGAGGTTTTTCATTTTCCAAGAAGGATGGCTTTGTGGGTTGCAAAGTGTGCTATGACGCAAAATATAAAGATTTGAAAGAACCTCTCAAAGCGACGTTTTACGATTTGCAAAGTACGAAAATGCCGGTTTCCTCGAAATTACTTTGTACAGTCAAAGTTTACCATGTCTTTTGATGACGTGACAACCCATATCAGCTGTTTGTTAAAAATGTACCCAGATGGGTTGACATGGTTGACAAGGTTTGTAAGATAACAGAGTTTCCAGTGTACCTCCATGTACACGTACTAATTTAAGCGCACAAGCTGATACAGAAACTAAAAGTGTGCTTCGAAAACTAGGTTATCTTCTTCTTGTGCTTATTGTGTAAGAAATGCGGGTTTTTAGCGTACACTTTATTGATTTTATTACAACGATATCGACGTTTTTTGCGTGCTCATTTAGTTATTTTTGTTGGAGCGTATCATTATCTAGCTCCAAAGCAAAGAAATAAATAGATTTCTAAAATCCACATTACAATGATTTATCGTTTCTAAATGCGTCTGGTCGTTGTGATAACCACGTCAGCTGCTTAACACTCGGCCACATCATAAAGAAGTCGAGGAGGAATTCCACAATAAGACGTTCCTTTTCTCTGCACGCACTTTTTTACTTTCTTCCATTATCGTTCCCGTGCTTTCTCCGCTTCGCAAAAAAAACCTCCGTGATCTCTTCAACTCGTAACCTCTTCTCAGGCGACCATATTTCCATTTTCTTGCATATTCACTCGACCATCTGCTTGCACAGGGCGCCGATTAACTGTACTCGCTCAATTAAGGCTCAACAATCAACAATGGTAATGGTAACGCTTCCTACACACGGATAATGACGATTTCTAGTAGTTTTCCCTGATTGTGTTTTTTTCAGGCGATAAAATTTCGTAATCGCAGCATTTACATCTCGCCAAGTTTTCTGTGTGACATAACGGAACACTAATACACGCTCCTAACTGTACCTCAATAACATACTTGGATGAAAATATTAACACATACATGGCATCCTTTCGACGGACCAAAATAAATAAATGCAGCGCGAAATGGGGCTGTGGTGATTATAATAGTGCAGTTATGGTCGCAGGTCGCCGCCAGGAGGTGAGTGGAACGGGTTACAAGAAGACACTGAAAGAAACGGGAGCATCAAAACAATTCGTGGGAACTGCGGTAATGGGATTCGCGAAAATTCGGACACTGTGATATAAAAAATTGTTTTTAAGAAGTATGGTAGTAATTTTTCATTTTATTTTTACCATTGCATTTGTAGGAGCTACTTGCACTAGATTTTGAGATTAATCTTTATCTATATTATTTCAGTTTTTAGAATTTCATGTTTGTTTTTTTTTCGTGTTCTTTGTTGACACACGCTATCAGCTTATCAACATAATACGTGCGCGTGTTGTGAAATAAATAATTGGAAAACTTTTGTCTCTTTCCTCTATTCTCTCTCTTTCGCTTTTCTCCCCTCTGTCAATGCTGTCGCTCTTCTTTCGCCGCTTCTGTCTCTGTTCCTTACAATTTCGCCTCTCATCACTCACTTTGTTTTTCACTATAATAATTTTATTTTTCCCTCTCCTCTTATTTCTTTCTTTGTTATTTTTCTTTAAATGTATCTTGACGGATTTTAAGAATTAAAACTTATCACCTAATTGCCTAATTTTAATGATATAGTTATAGATGTGTTTAATCTCCATCTCTATCTGTCATACTTTATCTTAGTCTTCTTGCATCTCTTTTTCCGTACAGAACAATAGATGTCATATTCTTCACAGTGACACTTTTTATTTTGTTCAAATTTTCTGCTAGTTTTTAGTGTGTTCGAAGGAGACAATGACATTGACACGTTGTTTGTGTGTTTTTCACTACAGAATTATATAATGTAAACCGTATGTACAAAACATTGCGAAAACTGCCGATAACGTCTACTAAGAAAAGTTTTCACAATAATTTGCTTTAAAATCACAGTGACCGCCATCGCAGAAATCCCACACTTACTTACTCATCCCGGTTTTCTTCGTCTGATTCATCGTCAGGCTTTATCAGCTCCCTCACTTTAGCTTGGAACACTTCCTTCTCAACATTGACTTCATACCTCCTCCCTATCCACCTCTTGTAGCAAAAATTCAATATCATCAAGCTTATGAAAAGACACACGGTGAACGACACCACAAAAGAAGTAAAACAAAGTAAAACAAGGAACCACATTTGGCACTTTAATCGAGAAATAATAATACAACTAATTTCATCACTTGCTATCGTGAGATTATCTATAGAAAAGTAGTTCGGCTACTCGAGGGTGACCCTCGATAAAACGTGTACTCCCCATTGGTACTATAATCACTTATTATCGACACTCTTTGTCCATCTGCGTCTATCTCGTGGTAATCGCGATCTCTTTTATCCCTCGGTATGTGGTTTTTATTGATGCACACGTAAATCGCCGATGCAACGGTTGCCATAAACCCGATTATAATGATGATGATGCTGGGATGGGTCCGGACTTCTTGCACCAGATCCATGGGTTCTGGACGCACAACGTTACTCACGTCACGATTACAACAAAACAAACCTAGACTTACCTTCCGTCTTACACTTTTAGCACTAACATTCGTTGTTCTTATCATTGGGGCTTATGAATCACAGTGATAACGGCGGAAACGCATTTTACTCAACTGGTGGTACTGCGAATTTACACCAGGAACGTGAGTGTTTCCACTATGCAAATATTTACGAAAGATTTATTAGCGGGATTTTTACTGACATTATTGTAAAACATAAATAAATTACTAATATCCTAAAAGCTTCATCGTGGCGACTTCTGACGCTGGTCGCTGGTTATTACTTATATTATCATAGTAACTAAATTCGTGTTCTGTGTCCATGCTGTAACGTGACGTCCGTTCTTTACTCTTGACGTCGGAATCCACGGTGTTGAAGTGGATGTAGGTGTCATCTAAAAGGTCTTTGTTTTCACGACCAAAGCACTTTTTGCACGTGCAGAACGTGATCATGATGAGGAAAAACACGAAAAACACTAGGTTTACGGCAGCGTAGATGATGACAGCGGTTAGGTGTAGTTGTGCCGCGGATATGCCATGGATGAGTTGTATTGCAAGCTAAAACATTTTTTTTTTACTATTTAAATATTGGTTTTAATTTTTGCACTTACCGCTGTTAATATTCGCTGCACGATTTCCATTTTTTGGGTGTGTTTGAGTGGATGAACACTTTTAATTGCGGTTTCGCATTTTAGTCAGCCGGAAAACGTCGAAAACGTTCCTCACTCTTATCTTTTGAAGCAAACACAGAATTTATTACGTTGTGTTAAAGCGTGTATAAAATAGGAAGTATATAGTTTGGACAATGTATATAGTTTATCAGTTGATTTGTAATCGATGGGTGGATGCGACTACCACGTAGGAAAATACGGCGTGAATTTAGTGCCAAAGACTCTGGATCGTTGGGAGAACTTGTTTAACACACTTTTTTTATCGAAAAAAAATCGTTTATCTTTGTAACTGAAAATGGAAAAAAATCCCTTCCTGTATGGATATTTTATGTTATCTTGACTTATCTATTGTAACATATGTTGCTACTATATGTATTGTGACCCCAGAAAACGTTTTTATAGTCACTAGGAAGTCATTTATCTCATTATGTAATACAACAAATATATATTTGTTGTCGAAAGTGACGTTTCGATGTTCTAGTTTCTTTCTTTTTACATAGGTGGCGCTACGTGGATATAAATAAAAATTAGAGCGACTTTTACAACACAACCCACAAAGTGGGGTATTGTATACAGATGTTGTTTGTGTATTATTATTTTCAGTTTTTCTGGCGACATTGGCGTTTTGAAAAAATGATGTATTTTTTGGAATTTTGATAACGCTACCAAGAAAAACAAAGCTAATAAAAAAATTATGAAAAGGGGTGGATGGGCGGGGCTTATATTTTGTCCCTATTTTCTTAATATACGAAGTCTTCTTTTCCCAACAAGAAACTGTTGTTGAAACAGAATTCTATACATATATTAAAAAAACAACAACAAAGATTAAGCCCCACCCACCCGCCCTGGTTTCAATTGTGATGAATTTTTCATTGGTTGTTAGATCGAGGGGCGGTGCGTAATTGCAAAATATATATTTCATTATTGCAAAATGTTATGAACATTATTATTTTTATTTTATCACTATTTTATAAAGATGGGCGTTTTCGCACATTCTCGAGAAAATGGGGTAACTGACTCTTATCCTTGAAGGATAGTCCGACAAATTCTGCTTGTTTAAAAAATGTATCGAATTCGACTATTCTCTTCAATTTCAAAGTTCAATTGTAAAATGTTATAAAATTTCCCGAAAAATCTGGGTGTCTGGGATGAAAATTCGATATGGATTCATGAATCACACATGCAGGAGTGATAATAATTTTTTTTACGAAAACAGGCCAAATTGCCATTTGGCGAATATAAATTAAAGGAATTTCATCTTTTTTTGTTTAGATTCCACTATTTATCAATGTAAAATCCACTTTTCGTCCAATAAAATGAGTGATCGAGAAGAAAACGAGGTGGGTGGGCGGGGCCATATGAAATATTTTTTATCGTAAATTCGAACACTTGACAATTAAATTCAATCTTCAACTCACAGTAAAAAGTTGCCGAAAAGATTCCAAAAATAGCGTGTTTATGGTTCCAGGGCAAACATTTTAGAAATATTCGGTTTGAAACCCAATTTTTTTGGAAAATGTTAAAAATTCCCACATTTCAATTGGCGATTATGAAAAAATGGTGGGAGTTATTAATATATTATCTAGAGGTCGAAATCTACAAGAAAATGTATTTGGTTGAATTTCGGAAATGGTCAAAAAAGGCCAAAATTTACAAAAAGACGAGATATTGAAAAATTTTGCTTTTGCAAAAGTTGCCGAAAAATTATTAGAAAATTCAGAGATGCAGATTCCGACGCACTAATTTCAAAAATATAGCGCATTTAAAGTCCCGAGACAACATTTAGGAAATATTTAGTTTGAAATCTAATTTTTCTCAAAACACCTAAAAAATTACACAATTCAATTCGTTACTCTGAAAAAATGGTATGAGTAATCCAAGAAATTAGACCAAAAGGAACTTCTGGAGATCGAAATCTATGAGAAAATGTATTTCGTTGAATTTTGAAAATGGTTTAAAATGGGCGAAATTTTCATGAAAGCGCGATTTTGAAAACTGTTGTTTTTGAAAAAGTTGTTGAAAAATTCCCAAAAAAATTAGTGATGTAAGTTTCGACGCAGTGATTTCAAAAATATAGCGCATTTAAGGTCTCAGGAAAATATTTAGGAAATAATCGGTTTGCAATCCAGTTTTTTTCAAAAATCCTAAAAATTGCGGTATTTCAACTGGCGATTCTGGAAAAATGATAGGAGTTATAAAAGAAATAGGGCCGAAAGTATCTTCTAGAGGTCGAAATCTATAAGGAAATGTATTTGGTTGAATTTCGGAAATGGTCAAAAATAGCCCAAAATTTTCAAAAAACGAGATATTGAAAAATTTTGCTTTTGAAAAAGTTGCCGACAAATTATTAGAAAATTCAGAGATGTAGATTTCGACGCACTAATTTCAAAAATATAGCGCATTTAAAGTCCAGAGACAACATTTAGGAAATATTTGGTTTGAAATCTAATTTTTCTCAAAACACCTAAAAAATGACAATTCAATTGGTTACTTTGAAAAAATGGTATGAGTCATCCAAGAAATTGGACCGAAAGGAATTTCTGGAGGTAGAAATCTATGAGAAAATGCATTTAGTTGAATTTTGAAAATGGTTGAAAATGGGCGAAATTTTCATGAAAGCGCGATATTGAAAAATTTTGCTTTTGTAAACGTTGTCGAAAAATTCCCAAAAAAATTAGGGATGTAAGTTTCGACGCACTGATTTCAAAAATATAGCGCATTTAAGGTCTCGGGAAGATATTTAGGAAATAATCGGTTTGCAATCCAGTTTTTTTCCAAAATCCTAAAAATTGCGGCATTTCAACTGGCGATTCTGGAAAAATGACAAGAGTTATTAAAGAAATAGGGACAAAAGTATCTTCTAGAGGTCGAAATCTACAAGAAAATGTATTTGGTTGAATTTCGGAAATGGTCAAAAATATGCCAAAATTTTCAAAAAGACGAAATATTGAAAAATTTTGCTTTTGAAAAAGTTGCCGAAAAATTATTAGAAAATTCAGAGATGTAGATTTCGACGCACTAATTTCAAAAATATACCGCGTTTAAAGTCCCGAGACAACATTTAGGAAATATTTGGTTTGAAATCTAATTTTTCTGAGAAATCCTAAAAAATGACACAATTCAATTGGTTACTCTGAAAAAATGGTAGGAGTTATCCAAGAAATTGGATCGAAAGGAACTTCTGGAGGTAGAAATCTATGAGAAAATGTATTTCGTTGAATTTTGAAACTGGTTGAAAATGGGCGAAATTTTATAGTAATAATAATAATACTTTATTTTCATGAAAGCGCAATACTGAAAAATTTTGGTTTTGAAAAAGTTACCGAAAAATTATTAGAAAATTCAGAGATGTAGATTTCGACGCATTGATTTCAAAAATATAGCGCATTTAAGGTCTCGGGAAAATATTTAGGAAATAATCGTTTTTTTTTTAAATCCTAAAAATTGCGGTGTTTCAACGGGCGATTCTGGAAAAATGATAGGAGTTATTAAAGAAATACGGCCGAAAGTGTCTTCTGGAGGTCGAAATCTGCAAGAAAATATATTTGGTTGAATTTCGAAATGGTCAAAAATAGCCCAAAATTTTCAAAAAACGAGATATTGAAAAATTTTGCTTTTGAAAAAGTTGCTGAAGAATTATTAGAAAATTCACAGATGTAGATTTCGGCGCACTAGTTTCAAAAATATAGCGTATTTAAAGTCCCGAGACAACATTTAGGAAATATTTGGTTTGAAATCTAATTTTTCTCAAAACACCTAAAAAATGACACAATTCAATTGGTTACTCTGAAAAAATGGTAGGAGTTATCCAAGAAAATGAACCGAAAGGAACTTCTGGAGGTAGAAATCTATGAGAAAAACTATTCGTTGAATTTTGAAAATGGTCGAAAATGGGCGAAATTTTCATGAAAGCGCGATTTTGAAAAATTTTGCTTTTGAAAAAGTTGTCGAAAAATTTCCAAAAATTGGGGATATAAGTTTCGACGCAGTGATTTAAAAAATATAGCGCATTTAAGGTCTGGGGAAACTATTTAGAAAATAATCGGTTTGAAATCCAGTTTTGTTCAAAAATCCTAAACATTGCCGTATTTCAACTGGCGATTCTGGAAAAATGATAGGAGTTACCGAAGAAATGAGTATGGTATATATAACATCACATTGTCCATTACCATCAATGCCTTCAGATATAATATTGGAAAAATACGGTTAAATTTGTAGTGGTCGATTTTTTCTAGACAAAACTATGCTGACACTTGACAAATTCGCAATTTTAGGTCTCCTGAAGTTTTATTTCCGGATAAATTTATAGGAATCAGATGTTTTATTGCTGGATGAACTTGAAAAAATCCTTTGAGCTTTTAGTGTTTTATTTTTTATTAATCTGAAAAAGTTTTGAGTGCCGCAGTATTTTTTTTTAATTTGGCAGACTCGTGTGTACTCCTGTTGTATTATTTTGGGAGCCAATGGAGATTTTTTTTTGTAAATTATTTAAAACAATTTTGGGGGACTTTGGTTTTCTGTTTTTGGAAAATTCTAACCTGACCTGTTTTTGAGTTAATTTTTTGAGGTTCTAGGTATTCCTGTGAAAAGAATTTGAAAATCTTTTGGAGTCTCTAGTGTTTTTTCTTTATTAATTGACGTTAATTTAAATAAATTTCTTAGAGGATACGTCATTTGCTAAAATCAATCTTATCTTGACAGGTATTAGTCCCCCCCACCCACCCTCTCTTTTTTTAGGGGGTCATTGCCAAAATCAGTCCTGATGACTAACTACGAGCTTACTTATATGCACAAGGCAGGAATTTTGAATATCTTATATATCTTTTGATTTTTTGATTTCTCGATATTTCAATTTTTCTAATTTTTAAATTTTAGAACTTTCAGCTTTTTGATATTTCGATTTCTCGATTTTTCGATTTGTAGTTTTTCTGTTTTTTGATTTCTGTGTTTATCCAGATTTGGATGTTTCGATGTTTCTCGCTTTTTTGACTTTGGCCTATTTCGGTTTCTCAATTTTTTCGATTTTTCGACTTCCCAATATCTCGATCTCATGGTTTTTCAATTTCTCGGTTTTTCGATTTTTTACTTCTCGTTTTCCGATTTTTCTATTTTTCAATAACTATCCGACTTTTTTAAATTTTGGTGTATCTATTACCCGATTTTTCAATTTTTCGGTTTTTAAATTTTGGAATTTTTTATTTTATCGATTCTTTGATATTCCGATTTCCCAATTTTTCAATTTATCACTTCTTCGACATTTCTATTTCTCAATTATTCAATTTTTCGGTTTAACAATTTTAAGAATTTGTCGACTTTTCAATTTTCTGTTTTTCAGATTTTATTTTTTTTTCTCATTGTAAATATCATACAATATATCGAAAATAAACACAAAAATTGTCACTAATAACTTTTAAAAATTCATACAAAGTAGAACACAATGTTTTAGATTAAAGATTTAATTCTTAGTTAAAAAAAAAATAGTTGCATGTCAAAATGGTCGCTTCTGAATGCTTAGAGTCGACATTGGCCTGAGCACGCTCTGATCTCTAGATCAAACAAGTTCTCAAGCGACGACAAGGCGAAGATGAGGATCGCTGATTATGTAAAATAATAAAATAAATGTATGTCTCAAAGAAAACCAGATGTTGTGCCCATTTTGACATTTTCGGGCCTAAATCCCCGGTTGTATCGCCTAGATTAGGACCTATTTTGGGTTTTTTAGCCTAAAATTTGCTTTTTTTATTATTCATATGAATGTTTATCTGCGAATCAGGCGGTCTAGCTGCTCTACAAAGTAATTTGATTGTTTTCATGCAGCTTTGACCGATCTTCTCTATTATTTATAAATGTCTTATTAAATGTTTTTTTGGTTTATTTGTTAATGAAAAATAACAGATTGTTTTATTAATAATAATAATGCAAAACGATTAATGACTACTGATGGTTGTAGTTATTGTCCTAAAAAAAATAAAAGGTGGATTTCAACAAATAAAAAAATAAAGAATTTTTTTATTACTTTTTTGGGTCTCCCGAAACCCCCGTATGTAAGTACATACTGAAGAGTAATTCTCCATTTTCAAGACACCTGGTATACTTTTTTATGCGTCTATTATATTGTTAGGTACATTGATAGCATTTGTAATTGTAACATCCTATATATGTGAAAAAATGTATATAAAAAAAGTAGACTTTTTGGGGCCCACCGGGAAATTTCCACAATCCGACACTGAACACAGGTTTGTGGTCAATAAAATGTCGCAAACTTGATATAAAGACTTATTTATTAAAATTACGCACTGATATGCATACAGTATTTGTTGTGCTTAGGAGGCGAGGAAAATTCTATATGAAAAACTGCAGATTTTTCATGCACTTAATATTGTGAAAAATTGAACTTGAAGGGAAGTCCGTGGACAAGTATAGTCAGCACCAATGCAATCGTGCATTGTTGGTTGCATAACCGAGTCATTTAAATTCTCTAATGTTATCAATTTAGTAACATTATATCAAATGAAAAAACGGTTTTTATGACTGCTTCACATACACAGTGTTTACAAAGTTGGCTTTTGGCGCCTTCCCGAAACCAAAAATTATCAAAATCACGTTACAACAGCAACCTGCGGCTTTGTAAAATAATTTTGAGTGCAAAATTTTAAGATTTTTACGCCGTGTTTTTACACAGTTGAACGTAATTTTTCAGCAAAAATTTTAATTTTCATGAAATAAACATTTCAAACTTAAAATCGCTGCGGGAAGTAATAAAAGAATTACGTGTTTATTTATCCAGGATAAATTCTAGTCGTAAATATAGCAATTTAAAAAACCCCCGCCCCCGCGAAAAAATAACACACATTTACAAATAAAACTTTAATCGTTATGTACAAAATTCGATACAACAGTCAGTCATTTTCGGTCACGGTATCAACGTCTATGTGAACGTCCTGATCCTGCGTAGAATCCGCACTATTTTCTCCACCCTTTCCTGCCTCCTTCGAGTGTCTCCACTTCATTCTCCTGTTCTGAAACCACACCTTCACCTGCGCGTCCGTCAACCCCAGCGTAGCTGCCAGCTGCCTCCTATCCGGCTTCGTTATGTACTTTTGTAGCTGAAACCTCCTCTCCAGGCCCTTCCTCTGGAGATTACTGAACACGGCTCGCGACCACGACCTCTTCCTCTTGTTGTTGCTCTGGTTCAGCGCCAGGCCGGGGGAGGTGGAGGGCGGCGGCGGCGGCACCGGAAGCCGAACAGCTGAAACGAAAAAAACGAATCGATAAAGTGGAGCACCGCAAGGATCGGCACTGAGGCCGTAAATTTTTGTTTGGATCGCGTTTGATCTACGTGATAACTGGGAATGGGTTCTTTGAAGACGGGAAGTAGAAAAAGCCGAATGATATTAATTGGCTGATCGATCGTTTAACGCCGGGCGAAGGAAGCCTCGCCTAATTAAGTTTTCATCGGGCGATATTTCTTGGAAACTATAAATCTAATAAACAAGCGATAAAAATTAGGAAGCACATGAAATCGTTTGTATATGCTTATGGGTCGCGCGTGATGCTTCCCAGACTAGTGTCCCGGTGTTTATTGCCAGAAGCGATTTCTTGTTTAGGAGATGGCATCCTGTCGGATCGACAAGCTGCCCATTGTCTCGTCGGTTGCAAAATTGTGGTATTTCGGTCGGTATTTACGCAATAAAATGGCGTAACAGTGGAATAAAATCGAATTCGGATGCCAAATAAACAACGTTGGGTGATAAATGGTCGGTTTTAATCTAAATACCATATAACCTGGTAAGTATATTTATTTAAGTTTTGTTTTATTGGAAACACCACGATATAATCGTTAAAGTTAACTGGTTTATTTCCAGGCACAACAAATCAAAGCAAATGTTCTCTGGATATAGATGCGTGTCTATTAGCATCATCTAAACACTTAAGGGGCCCTGTATATACAAACTAGGAATACTTAAAGCTAACAACTGTAAACTGAAGCATCTGAAAGTGTTTATGATAATACTATACACCGAACGTTGTTTATGTTGGAGCACAAAATTTGGTACTCATCAACGGTTTTAAGGATGTATATTTACAAACCATTATAGTCTGTTTTCGACTTTATTGCCGTTCCTCACTGATTTGATTTTTATGACAGGACCGTAGCTTTTTATTTTTTTCTATTGTGTGATGCTTGCGCGAGCCCGAATTATACAACCCGCATAAACGCTTTATGGCATTATGACACCGCAAACCGCCGTAAATAATAAAACACGATTAATTACAACCATGACCGGCCGTAAAAGCATTGTGGGCCGGGCCGGCCGTAAATTAGCGAAATCGACGCGACGACACATCTCTAATCCGGAAGAAATACGCCAATCGTAAAAGTCGACGACGTCTTTAACATTTCTGTTTCGAGTGCGTTACGCAACGAACCAGCGGCGGAACATCGTCACAATTTTTCTAATCAAACCTGAATTCGGTGGGTGTAAATTGCAGCTACAATCAACCTGAGCGTGCTACTTTAAACCCCGGTTTTATTTTCTCTTTCGGAATTTATTAAAAAGTCCTTTTTTGGAAGGCGGTTGTGGCGTGGGTCCACGCGCCCGCGGCCCCCCTCCCCGCGCCGCCGCCGTGCCGCACTGAGCCTAATTGGCCGGGCCGTAAAGCAAACACGATTCTAATGGATAAAATTATAATATCAATGACGTGTAATGATCAATTTGAGAACCAGTCCTTATAATCGTGACAAATGGTCCGAAACAAGTTAAGTGACTAAATTATTAGCGGGAACCGGCAGGAGGGAACCTTCTAATGGCTTTTTCACATAAAGTTGATCGGCTATCACGCTGCGATTATGATTACCAGAAGTTGGACGTGTGTAAACTCGCGTATCGGGGATATTATTGGATTGTGGCTAGTTTGCAATTTATTGCATAGATAAATCGTAAAGTTAACTGTACGAGGATATAAATTTCAGACCGTCCTCGGCATGGGAAACAACCTTGAAAAATTTTGTAATAATCATATTTCACAGAGGCGAAGAAGATTCATCAAGAGATGAGACCCGTGGAAAAGAGCTACATGAAGTGCGCCATTTTTTTTTAAGGAAACTGGTTAATGGCGGGCAGAAAATAATTCTTCACACAACTTGGTTATTTATGCGAAAAAAAAATTGAAACCGACCACGGCAAGGTTAGGTCGAGGTAGACTGTACACAGTTATACAGGGTGATTCAAAAAGCGCTTGCTCGAGATCTCGTTAATTATCACATTGCGTCTAGAAAAAACACGGATTGTGCCGCCGGGACACCGCATTTACCCAGTATATATCTGAAGACTTTGATGGTAATGGACAATGTGATGTTATATATACCATACCCATTTCTTCGGTTACTCCTTTTTGAAAGAAACTGGATTTCAAACCGATTGTTTCCTAAGTGTTTTCTCCGGACGTTAAATGCGCTATATTTTTGAAATCACTGCGTCGAAACTTATATCCCTAATTTTTGGGAATCTTTCGACAACTTTTTCAAAAGCAAAATTTTTCAATATCGCGCTTACATGAAAATTTCGCCCATTTTCAAAATTCAACGAAATACATTTTCTCATAGATTTCTACCTCCAGAAGTTCCTTTCGGGCCAATTTCTTGGATAACTCCTACCATTTTTTCAATGTAACCAATTGAATTGTGTCATTTTTTAGGTTTTTTGAGAAACATTAGATTTCAAACCAAAATATTTCACATGGTAATTTCTCGTAGAAAAATAAGAATTTTTACAATTAAGTTCCGCCCCTCGGCTTACGACGAATAAAAAAATCATCAGAATTGAGATAGGGAGGGTGGGTGCTGTATATATTTTGCCTTTTTTTTTTCTAAATATACAAAGCCATCTCTTCATAACAAGAAACTTAAAACATGCTTAAAATGGTACATTTTTGCAAGGAAATATGGATTTTGCAATTATGAGGTCGAGCCTAATTGCAAAATCGATATTTCCTTATACTTACAAATTTTCAATTTTGAAGATGTTTTAAGTTTCATGCTGTGAAAAGAGGTCTACACATATTAAAACAAAAAGGCAAAATATCAGCCCGCCCACCCGCCCTATCTCGATTGTGATGATTTTTTTATTCGCCGTGAACCGAGGGGGCGCGGCTTACCTGCAAAATTCTTATTTCTTTACAAGAAATTAAAAACATGTTTTTGAATATCGTGTTGTTCAAAGTATACTATGTATATTAAGAAACACAGGCAAAATTTAAACATATTTCACATGGTAATTTTTCGTAGAAAAATGAGGATTTTCCACACCTCGGCTTACGACGAATGAAAAAAATCATCAGAATTGCGATAGGGTGGGTGGGTGGGGCTTATAAATTTTCATTTTTTTTCTTAATATACATAGCCATCTTTTCATAACAAACTTAGAACATGTTTAAAATGGAAAATTTGTATAAGGAAATATGGATTTTGCAATTATGGGGCGGAGCCATCCTTACAAAAATCTTCCATTTTAAACATGTTTTAAGTTTCATGTTGTGAAAAAAAGTCTACACATATTAAAACGAAAAGGCAAAATGTAAGCCCGCCCACCCACCCTATCTCAATTGTGATGATTTTTTTTTATTCGCCGTGAACCAAGGGGGGCGGAGCTTAACTGTAAAATACGTAGGTACTTCTTTACAGGAAATTAAAAACGTGTTTTTGAGTATGGTGTCATTGAAAGAATACTATGTATATTAAGAAAAAAAAGGCAAAATATAAACGATATACCTAAGATATGAATACTGAATTATTTTAGATATTACATTGTATATTGAGGCCCACTTTAAGTGGTGCCATGAGAACAAAACCCATATTTTTGTTGATCTGTCCCTAGATTTTTGCAACGTAAATAGTGAACGTAATAGACCATTGATGGTAATGGACAATGTGACGTTATATATAGTGATTTCGAAAAGGCTTTCGATAAAATCGATCATTGTCTATTACTGCAAATGCTCTGTAATCTTGGCTTCACAAATTCGTTATTGTGACCAGTAGAATCTCATTTGTAAAATACAGAAATTTTAGTCTAAACCCATCTTCTGGGTTCCCACAGGGATCGAACTTAGGCCCCTTGTTGTTTTTGTTCTTTATCAACAATCTTCCTGCAATAAACTTATGTTGGCTAATTATTACTATCTTCAGTTTTGCTTAATTTGGTTTACTATTGTAAATTTCGACCTTCAAGGGTTATTATTTTCGGCCCCATTTCTTCGATAACTCCTATCATTTTTCTCGTCAGTGGAAATACGCCAATTTTTAGGATTTTTGAAAAAACTGGATTTTAAGCCGATTGTTTCCTAAATGCGCTATATTTTTGAAATCACTGCGTCGAAACTTACATCCCTAATTTTTTCGGGAATTTTTCGACAACTTTTTCAAAAGCAAAATTTTTCAACATCGCGCTTTCATGAAAATTTCGACCATTTTCAACCATTTTCATAGATTTGTACTTCCAAAAGTCCCTTTCGGTCCAATTTCTTTGATAACTTCTACCATTTTTTCAAAGTAACCAACTGAATTATCATTTTTTAGGATTTTTCAAAAAAAATTAAATTTCAAACCAACTATTTCCTAAATCTTGTCTCGGGGCTTTGAATGCGCCACATTTTTGAAATTAGTCCGTCGAAATCTACGTCTCTGGATTTTCTAATAATTTTTCGGCAACTTTTTCAGAAGCAAAATTTTTCAATATTTCCTCTTTTTGAAAATTTGAGCCTATTTTTGACCATTTCCGAAATTCAACCAAATACATTTTCTTGTAGATTTCGACCTCTAGAAGATACTTTCGGCCCTATTTCTTTAATAACTCCATCATTTTTCCAGAATCGCCTGTTGAAATACTGCAGTTTTTAGGATTTTTGAAAAAACTGGATTTCAAACCGATTATTTCCTAAATGTTTTTCCGAGACTTTAAATGCGCTATATTTTTGAAATCACTGCGTCGAAACTTACATCCCTAATTTTTTTGGGAATTTTTCGACAACTTTTTCAAAAACAAAAGTTTTCAATATCGCGCTTTCATGAAAATTTCGCCCAACCATTTTCAAAATTCAACGAAATACATTTTGTCATAGATTTCTACCTCCAGAAGTTCCTTTCGGTCCAATTTTTTGGATAACTCCTACCATTTTTTCACCCAATGGAATTGTCATTTTTAGGATTTTTCAAAAAAAATTGATTTCGAACAAAATATTTCCTAAATG